GCATATACCCGTAAGGGATTCCCTGTGCCGTGTCGTCGTTATAGTGTGAAAATTAAGAAGGCTTTCACCTATAACAACATATAGACTTTGCAATTTCTCTAATACATTGTTAACACTATTGTTAATTTATTCTGTCAATTTTTAATTCATTCTGAAAAATGGCAAAATTCATGTCATAAAGTACAACTTCTACAAGAAAATGCACTTTGGCATCAAGCCATTAACCTATTAGAATAGAATTGAAATTAGTTAAAAAATTTTCAACAAAATATAATTCTATTAAAAAATACCAAATAATATTAATCAATAAAAAAAATAAATAAATGCAATTAGACTTAAATGTATTATAATAAAAAAATAAAAACAAAATAAATAAATAAAAATAAATAATTAAAATTAGAATAAAATAAATAAAATTAGAATAAAATAAATAAGTTATAGTGTATTAAATTGGTTAAGATATATATTTAGTTAATTATAATAGATAATAATATATAATTAATTAAAATATTTTAAATTAGTAATGATTTAATCTATACTTGATTATTTTTTCATATAAGTATACTTTAGTTTATAATAGAATGATTCAATTAAATTATTCATGTCTATTATATCTTTAGCAATGTCTTTTATACAGACTATTTACATTTTATACTTCAGTTTCCACCAATGCTTAAAGTAATTTATAAAATTATTTATTGTTTCATTATTTATTTCTCTTCATTAATTAGTTGCTTTTACTATCTGTACTTAAGCTTCTGTGCTAAACCACTCTTTTATCTTTAGTAATTACTAGAGATCATCTCAAATAACTTCTTTTTATAGATTATTGTTTGTTTTATGTTTATATTACAGTTTTTCATGTCAAAACTGTAGCATATGAAAATACACAAAAATACAGAGCTATCAAGAAAACTTTCTTGAGTTACTTTTATTTCTTTTTTAACATCATTGACTATAAAAATATTTGATCTCTAGTTTTTATTTTATGCTTTAAAAAATTAAACTACTTCTTTAATGTTAATGTTCATTTAAACTCACTTATTAAAAACATAATAGTATATCCACTTTCTACTATTGGATTCTGTATAATAAGTATAAATAAATAATATCTGTAATAGTTTGTTCTATGTGTTTTATTCAAATACACTACTTTTGCAAATTCTATTAATTGTTTCTGCTTTTTTATTTAAAACATAAATATAAATCCAATATTATTTATCTTATCATATTTTCTAAATATACAAATTTTATCCTTGCTAATTATTTTATTTTATTACATTTTTAAAAAGCAGGACTTATCCTTATTGAAGTATACAAATATTTTTATTATATTATAGATGATCATATATATATTATCATATATTATTTACTTATCTTTTAATATTTGCACTTTTTGTAAATGTGAATATCTTTAGAGTTAAGTAAAGAAATCTAAAATATTAAAATAAAAAAATAAAAAAATTTAAATAGTAAATAAAAATAAATAAATAGACTAAATTAAATAAATAAAATAAATTTAATAAATATAATAAATTAAATAAATATAATAAATTAAAACTAAATTATAGATTTTTTTTCTCACAAATAGAGTTTAAAACTAAATTTGATCAAATTTAAATTCAGATATAAAACCAATATTCTGAATATACAATACTCTTATTATCTTTATAAACTTATAAAGAACAAAGTATTCTACTATCAATACAAAAGTAATCAGATGTTTTTGTTACCAAGTATATGTGTATATATATATATGCACAACTGAATATTATTAAATAAATTTAAATTAAAATTCAATATATATTTTTATTAATTAAATTAAATATAAACCAAAAAATGAAATTCAGCTTCAAACTCTTTGCAAATCTGTTTTATATATGTATATATCCTGTATATAATAATTATTTATATTTTAGTATTATGAATAATTGCCAATTAACAATTATTATATATGAGATTAATGCATATATGAATTTATAGATTCACAGAACTTATAAATAAAAAAAAATATTTGTAAAATTTGTCTAATAAAAATAACAAAATTAATAAATAAAATTAAGAAATAAAAAAATTAATTAATTAAATTAAATATATAATATATAAAATAAATATATAAAAAAAATCTGATTTTGTAGCTCTATTGTCCAGAATCATATAAGCTTATATATGCCAAAAACATCAAGACCTTCAAGAGCATACTATTGAACAAACTATAAATATTTTCTGAAAAAAAAGTATATATAGGTTTGAAAGTTGGCTAGGGTAGTAATTATGATGCTTATAATAATATTTTAAAATTACAATTGATGAATTAATAAGAAATGAAACAAAAATATAACTTTTACACTCATATTTTTTTGATGCTTTTTGTACTAGATGTAGTTTTTTATTTATATTTTTTTTAGCAACACTTTTGTACTCCTCATAATGATGACAATTCCACTTTTCAGTCCATTCATTTTTCTTTTTTTTATTCCTTCTAATTTGACATTTATGTTAATTATAACAAAGATCTGATTTTTTAAGATCTTTGATCCATTTAATATATCTATTTATTGAAAAATTGTAAGTTTTTACCTTTTTTTTAATTCTTCTTTTGTATTATCATTCACCACTTCTTATGTTTGATCAGTGTCATTTGATGTATCTAGGATGAAGTTAAGCAAGTTATCAATATCAAACTCATTGTTACTAATATCCATGTTAACATTTTCATCAATATTGAAAATATTATTAATCTTAATCTTAACCAGAATTGACATTTTAACAAAAATACAAATTAATAATAATTATAAAAAATTTGTTAATACATAAAATACAATTAATAAATAATGAAATATTATTTAATCAATCATGCAAAGTTATTTATTGAAACTGCTAAATTTCCAAGAGTTACCACACATTAGTATTAAACAATAAAAAATTTAAAAATACGATAAAATATATTTGGACTCTAGAAAAAAAAAATTTGGGTGTAAAAAAAAAAAAAAAATTGGACGCAAAAAAAAAATTTATTCGGACGCCAAAAAAAATAATTTATTTGACGTGCCACTTATACGACGCTGGAGATGACTACATTTTTAATCTCGTGAAATATTTCATCCAATAAGAAATGAAATTTTCATTTGTCCAATCAGAAAGTGGTGGAGGAAATTAGTAAATTCATGATTCATTAGGCCGTTGATGGCAGATCATTAAACACATTAGACAAGCCACTTCGTTACACGTCAATTGAGCAATTGCAGAAATTTCCTTATACGATACTGAATTTCAATCATGTAGTACAGCACCACCTGAAAACCAAATCTTTACATTAAAATCTTAATATTTAAAAGCTATACTATTAAATAATACTTCATTATTTAACCTCTATTATCGGTGTAATTTGCTGAATTTACATTTAACTTAAATTGTTTCCATACTCTAACAAAATAAAATGCCTTCGAACAATAACGCCCTAAATTTTGTTTTTGTTGATCCTTCGCGTCAAATTTCTCGTCAGAGACTTGCGGAAGAGAATCGGGCTCTTAACGATAAAATTTCTTTCTTGGAAGCAAAAATATCTTCTTTAGAGACGGAACTTTCTTCGCTTCGTCGACTGGAAACAGAACTTTCTTCGATTCGTCAGCTGGTTTCACAGCTGACTCTTCTCGCGTTTCCCTCTGATTTTTAGTTTTCTTTCTAGCACTATGTATTTATTATTTTCATAATGAATCTAATGTTTTCTCTTCTGGCTTTATTTCTATTTTTCCTGATACATCATTTGTTTGTTATTTATGTAGATATTTAACCGTTTATCAAGGCGTTAATGGTTCTTTTACACTGTCTATTTCTAAACGCATATTTAAAAATGGATATGAGGTTGTCTCTTAGACGCTAATTTCGAAATCACTTATCAATTCTGATTCTAGAACTCCTAATCCATTTATTATTTATCGAATTATCTAGCTATTTTTTATAAATTTGATTACTTTTATTTTTTGAAATAGTTTATTTTTTAGCAAATGAACATAAGAACAGATTAAATTCTTTGTTCAATTTCTAATTTATGGATTTATATTTAATTTTTTTTTTTAAAAAAAAAATTTCTATGTATTCAAATTGTTACAATCGACTCTGACAAACCTGAAATTAGTGTGGATAAATACATTCTCTTATGCTTAATGCACTAACGTTGATTACTTGTTAAAATTATATATCTTACATATCGTCACGAAATAACGACCCAAGGCACTAAGTTGAAGAAAGCTAAAAATCAACTTTGACGAATACACACAATAATTTTATTTTTAAAATATGTTCTTCAAAATTAATTCTCTGAAAGTCGTGTAATTATCATCACGTGAAGTCAGAAACTTTGCATAGCCTTATGCAGTACCTCATCGGGTTATTTTGACTGGATTAAACGGTTATAATAGAAAATTTATGTTCTGCAAATCAAGTTTTTCCGCAAAGCAAGTTTTTCAAAATTAATTTTACAGATCAAAAAACTCCGAAAAACACAATATAATTTATGTTGTGCTTAATCCAAATTTATAGAAAGCGGAGCCGAAATTCCAGGTTTTCGCTTGCAGCACTCAAATAAAACATACTTATAGATGATTATTCCAGTCTGCATTATGCGAACCTCTCTATGGTTGCCTCCCTTATAGGCACATTATATAAAAGTTCTCTTTGTTAGCACATATATTCTAAAACAAACTATTATAAACATATATGAAAAAAAACGGGCAAATCTTTCAAAATTCCTAAATCATCACGAATAAAAAAAAACTCGTGTATAAAATAACAATATCTATAATAAAATTAATACTTCAAAAGTCTTTACTAAGAAATCTCGCTTACTTTAAACCTAAAACTGTAATCTTGTCGCAGACCAAACAAACCAAAATTTTATTAAAAAAATAATCATAACATACTACCAGTCAAAAAAGAAAACCCCCCAAAATGAATACTTAAACCTATTATAGAATACTAAGAGTTAATAAAAAAATAATTAAACCAACATGTGGGCTCAGGGCTGGGAAAAGATATTAATCATCGCTCTGTGTGATGATAAATAATACGTATCCCTGGGAAAAGGGCCGAAAATGACAATTTTTTCAGTTTTTTTTACATAAATCAATTTAGAATAAATTTGTGATCATTTAGATACGAAAGTAGTTGTATTAATAAATTTTGCAGTATAGCTCTTTAAAGTTTGCGTTTTCTTATGATTTATTATATTTATAATATAAAAATGGTTATTTTTTTTCGTCATTTTCGGCCCTTTTTCCAGCACCTAGCCCATTTAGTGTTAGCTCCAATACGTATCAAACTGATCTTTAATTTTTATATAATAATCGTTATACAGTTATAATACCAAAAGACAGCTTAAATTACCAAGTTTAAGTGATTTACTGTACCTATAAGCTAAGCTTAAACGTTCAAACATACCTCTCATCTAACTTCCGAATTACTTCACGGATTACCGAATTACTTCACGGATTACCGAATTACTTCGACAGTTTATAAAACAGGGTATATATATATTTTTTTTAGTATCCAGTTCTGCCAATGGCTACTAAACCTTTTTCAATATGTAGAACATAGTGTGCAACATTTTGTGACAAACATCCAATCAAATTAAAGTCCGCTATGTTTATATCGTCAACATCAGACTATAACGATAATGACATTTTTTAAAATTTGACCTATATACTTGATATGGAATGCCTCTGGTTAAACTGACATCTGGTTATATCGAACAATTTCTTTATTTTTATTTATTTTATTTTATTTCGTGTCGATATAACCAGAATGACTTGTAATAGTAGCCGTAAACGATTTATTTATTTTAATCAATAAGATCGTTCTATAAATCATAGAAAAAGGCGCCTGAGATCAGTCATAAATTATGAACCGGTACGGGCTATCCTTATATCTAGGGATGTTAAGTAGTCTGGCCAGGTGGTCAGAATTTAGCTAGCTCTATTGAATAGATCATGTTTTTAACCAGGTGGTTAAAATACTTAACATCCCTACTTATATCCAGGTAATTTCATCATTTGAATACGTTTTCGAATTCTAAAGATCAGCAGAACACGGAATTTATGAGCTACAAGTGACTCTCGTTATAGTGAAGTGATCGGGCCGTGAAGTTGTCTTCACTATATCAAGAGCCTATTAGTAAATTTTTGGGTAAATTCACTATATCGAGAGTTCATAACAAGAATCACTTGTATCATTTTCACATCAATTAATATATAATAATTAGTAATTATGTAATTTGAAGTAGTTTGTTCAAGAATCACTAAATAATAATCGCATAATTTCCGTGTTCCTGAAGATCTGTAAAATTTGAACACGTCAAATGATTAGGTCATTCTCAAAGACCTTGTTATAGCTCGGTATTAAATTTAAAAATCTTAAAAAATTTGGATAGAATAGAATTAATCTAACTATTTGGAATATTTGAGCAATTTCTAATTAATAAACTTTCTAGAAATACGACTTGTGTAACTACATGAAAAATCAACACAATTTCATGCTACCGTGTCTAAAGTATGAATCTTTTTTTGATATCAAAAAACATTCAGACTTTACTCCTGAAGCTGCCTCCTGCGTACTAACAAAGAGTTTCGAATTTTAATTTAGTAACAAAATACGAATAATGACACTGAATGTAAATAAACGCCTAATATTTGGATAATAGTTTCTCTACATTAAACTTAATTTCATTCGAGTATTCATCAGTATTTTCTTTTGGTAATTAGTATTTCATCTTGAATTACAGACTTTAACATGCAAATTCGTACATGTCTTGCATAAAAATGAATAAAATTATAAAATTTTAAGTAGCACGTAATTATTACCGTAAAAACATCCCTATTATTTCGAGTTTTGCAAATTGACACTCTATTTAAATTTTAATATCTATGCAATTTTATAAAACTTTACTAGTTTACATATTTTTATCCTAGCAATTGCCTCACAATGAATCAAAATATTAAACCAATAATATCAAACAAAACTTTTCCGTTAAGATAAGGTTTAAAAAAACAGTAAATTTGGGTGTTAGGAAAAGGTTTTGACCATTGTTACTTGGAGTATCAAACGTAAATCACTAATTCTTGAGATATAGCAACTGTGGTGTATACATATTATGCTCGCAATATATAAGTACATCAGTATTTATGAATTTATTATCTAGGACGTCCCAACAACTTAACATCAACTAATCTATTTAAGCCATCATCACCTCTCAAACCATCCAATAAAACCAATGCTTCTGCTGTACTATGTTGTATTTCTCTCATCTCGATCTCATTAATTAAAAATCTACGACGACACAGTCTTGCTTTGTTATCATTGATCCAATCCTTACCATACTTTTTAATCAATGTTGTGATTGCTGGATTACCGTCCAAACCGAAATACCATTCTGCATAAACATGATGAACTGATGGTAAAGTACCAAGAACCGGAAGTAAGTAATATGGTATTTTTTTATTTGCTCGCTCTACATCAATGGAAACTGCTTCACTGAAAGTAATCCATTCGGCTTGGGGATGGACACTAGTAGGAAGTATTAAAGGTATTAAAGGTGGTGGTTCATAAATTGTTTCTTTACGTGAATGCCTTCTATATTTCCTGGTGTTTTTATTCTAAAAAAATCATACGTTAATAGAATTAATACTATATAACATAAAATCTTTTTAAAAAAATTGTTTATCAGAAAACGAACCATGTTAAATAAAAGGATATGCTAATACCGAGAAGGTTTATTAAACATTCTATTTATATTAATGGTTTTTACTTATCTACACTTAAGCTTCACGTCATTAAATCATTAACTATTTCTGACTTCATTTATCAGATGACAAAATTTGATTCGTGCTTAATTATCTCTATTCTTCGAATTAAAAGATTAAATTATTTCACATTTTATATAATAATAATTCATTCCAGACAGTTCACTTGCAGACAAATTTGTGTTTAAGAGACAAATGTTCTTCATCTAGGAATAATTTTGTTTTTATCAAGTGAGTAGGCGTTCCAACATCATACGTTTCATATGTTACACAGTTGTCTCAACTGCATTATATTATAAAATTTATATTTATTTGTACTTTAAGAAATTTTTATTAAATATACAATACTGACAGAAATTGACGTTATCCGGCAATTCATGGTCATGTTCCTCTCCTATGTAATGGATCAAAGAATTTTTATTTAGCAAAGAAAATTTTAGATATTGTTTTTTAAAACTGTACTTTAAAAAGCTTTTCTAATATTTGAAAATCGATATATAGAGAAGAAACAATTTTAATAATAAACACAGGTAAAAAAATTAATTTTTAACTAAATAATAATCAGTAATATTTGGTACAAATTATAACTTATTTACTATATA